AAACATCTCTGCCGGATGTAGTTTATCGTCATATCTCGGACAAAAGACGAAAAGGGTTACTAAGTGTAAGAGAACAGGAATTAAGACAGAAGATAACGATTGGTAATGCAAGATCAAAGTTGACCGGAAAGCAAGACGCCTAAAGAGAGTTTCACGAGCGAGAAGTGCGAGAAATAATAATGATCATAAAAATAAACTTTGTTCGGTGGGAATGATTATCCACTTTGAATTGTGTAATAATCCGGTTAGAGACACGTGTTACAAAAATTGCAATCAGAAGATGTCAAAGATGATGTGAAAAGAAAAACTTAATTCGTACAAAGAATTCTATGGTTTTGAAACCCTGACCGACCATTCCATCCAAGCAACTAGAGATGATTGTCGCAAAACAAGGAAATGTGCCAACAAATAACACGACGAAACGTCAAAAAGCGAAAAAAAATTTAAAGACTATATCGCCAAGAAACTGAAAAACGGAACACTTATCCACTCCAGACCCATAACAATTATTAACAACGCACAAAAAAAATAAATAAATCGTGATCAAATTAATACTGCGGGAAGTGCTGGAGATTCGAGAAAACTTGTCACATTATCTCTAAAAAAATGAGAAGACATGGTGTGAACATTTTTAATGAAGAAAATTGTTAAAAACAAAAATAAAAGAAGCAATGACTTGTCAATATTCGCAGTTTCAGACGAAAATAAAATGACCAGCTGAAAAAACGAAAAAAAACAGTTGTTTACTTTTGATTTAAAACTTAATTAACAATCTATCATTAGCAATGAAATAATAATTAGATAAGAAGAAATATTAACTAATTCATTTATACAGAGAAAAAAAAAAATCAACTGTTTTTCGCTGAAGTCATTTAAAAAAAAAAAAAAATCATTTGTTTTGCAGAATTTAGTTTTAAATGGGTCTTAATTTTTATTTAGTTTTTGCAGGTTATTGATCGCTTTTTTTTTTTATTGTCGAAATTAAACGTCAAGTTCTCCAGAAATTGTTTCAACAAGAAATAAAATCTAAATTCAATTGGTGAGAAAAATAAACGCAAAAAACAATCTAAATTTCAAATTAAATGATACACGACGACCGAAAAGACGTTTTAAATTTTTAATGTTGGAAAACAATCATAACAAATAAAAGAAAAAAGGAAATTGTTTTTGTCAGTTAACACTTCCCAATTTAAAAATAAGTATTTTCTTTTAAAAGCACTTGCAAATATAATTCCATGAGGTTCGTTATCGACTTTTTTTTCGCTGCTCTTCTTAAAGAAAATGAAAATACTTTTTCAAATCTATTCATAAAACGTAACTAACCTAAATATTATTTTGACTTTTAATTCACGTGGTTACTAACGAAATAAATTTATTATTTTAGCAATATAAAAAAAATTGCTTCTTAAAAGTAAAACTAAAAAGGTAATCATTTTTAAAATCTAATTTTCCAAAGAACCAAAGGAAATAAATAAAATAAAAAAAAGGTAAATTTTACCAAAAATACAACATAAAAAAAATCGTAATTAACACACAAACTGGAATATTTAAGAAAAAAAAATAAGTTGCATTTTTTTTTTTTTTGTCTATTTTCATCATTTTTTAGACCAGAAAAAAAACTAATACAAGGTTAATAAAGAGAACAGAGATTTTGATCAGGATTGAAACCGTTTTACTTTTCGGATTATTAATTTTTTTATCAACATTACTGTAGTGTAAAAAATAAAAAAAGAAAGGGAAAATTTTTGTAATAAAAAATTACAAGGTGTGGTTTTAAAAAAAAAAAAAAAAAAAAAAATTAACAAACTGTTAAATGCTCACACATTAACAATTTACTTAAAAGAAAAAAAAATTATAATCGAATAAAAAGTCATTATCTATTTTTTAAGTTTTTTAAAACCTTGTGAATCAAAGAAAATCTGTCGTATTTTTAATTATTTTTACCATTTCCCGCTTTCATCACATTAAAATGGAAAAATTTAAAAATAAACTTCATTGACAATAAATAATACAACTGCTTGTTGATACTAATTATTAAATAAATTATTATTATGATATGAAACCAAGAAAAGAATTAACGTAAAAAAAAAAAAAGTTTTCAATCTCAGTAAAAAAAAAGTAAAAGTGATTTTCCTTTTAATTAGTTTTTTCCCTTATTTAAACTAAAAAAAAAGTAAAATCTATTTTTAAAATCTCGTATTATTATAAATCAAAAATATTTTATAGAATCTAAAGAAAGAATCCTAACATAAATCAAATCATGTGTTTTTATAAGACTATAATAAAATTTCACATAAAGAGTAAAGTAAAGACTAAAATAAGAAAATATCAAATTAAAGCACGTATTTTGTTTACCAATTTAACTTTTTTCTTTATCTTTTATCACTTCGTTTTTTAGTGAATTTCAAATTAACATTTTGTGGAATGTGGTAGACAAAACAAACATTTTTTAATTAAATCTAAAGACTAAAAATCTAAATGTCAGTTTTAGCGTTTCAAATACTGATTTTTTTAAATTTTTTTAATATTATTTCTGGGTCAGGTGGTCAGATCTCTTATTTTTACAGTTTTAAACTAATAAGTAAAAATTTTACTTATTGGTTTTATTTAAAATTAAAAAAAGTTTATATAATATGTTCAATAATGTTGTAATTTTTTATTTACTGAAAGAATAGTTTTGTTTTTTTCTTGTTTTTTTTTTTACTTAAATAAATTATTTAATTGCATTTACTTTCGATCTAAGGGCGATAAATCAGTATTTGGCATGTAAAAACCGTTTGAAGCGCTAAAACCAATTATATTATTAACTTCCAGATCGTTTCGTCCTAGTCCAAAAATTATAATATTAATTCTTGAAAAATCCCCAAGCCAAGCAATAATATCATTATATTGTTTTGTTTTTTTAGAAAACCAATTAATGATTACGTGACTGATTAAAAAATAATTTTTCATTAAATTTAAAATTCAATCTTTAAAAGAAAGTCTAACTTTTGGAAAAACAAAAAAAAAAAATCCTAATCAAATGAATTATAAATATCCATAAAAACTACAAATTAATTATCGGTATAATGCCGTACGTGAGTTCAAATTATTTTGTTTTTAACGATTTTTAAATTGAAATGTTAGTGTTATATTGACATAGGGTGTTGTCACCAGATGTAAAATTTATATTTAAAATCTCGATAAAATACAGGAAAACAGACATAATTAAAATAATTAAAATTACCGAAATTAATGAAGTGAGTGAAAAAGAAAATAACCTGCCTCGCAACGAAAGTTTGTTTTAATTTCTAACCAATAAATAAGTTTGATTCATGAATGAATGAAGAATTTAATTTTTAAATGAGAAACGAATGAAGAAAATAATAATAATGACACTAAAAGTGTAACGCATCATTTATTTATTGCTGTAAATAATTATTCAACTGGTTTAAAATAAGTTTCTCACACTGCTTGATAAAAAATGAAAAGTGCGAGTATTTTTAAAGAATATTTCATTTTTATGTTATTTTCTTTTTGAATGGCAAAAAAATGACTAAAAAAAGTTTGACTTTAACCAAATTCCTCACAAGTCGGTGCTCCAACAAATTCTTGAGATTTTGATTTCATTTTTAAATTGTCAGTATAATTCACTTTTTGTAATGAAATGTCCTGAGTTCGGTAAGAAATCCAAAGAATTGACACAATCACCCTGACTTTAAATAAAAAGTAAACGAGAGAAAAAATGGGTCAATGAAGAAATAACAACTTTTCTTTATCGTTCGTTTAACTTATGTCATTTCCCCGTTCATCTCAAATTCAGATGATATTAGACAAAAAAAAAGCTAATTTAAACTAAAAAGTAAAGAAATAGATAATCACTTCGTTGAGAATAAATAATAATTGGAATTTTGGTAAAATAAAATTTTTATTTTTTCAATTAACTTTTTAAATAAATTACTCACATTAACATTCATTTTAAAAACATTTTTCTTTTATTGCTAATTTACATATTTCAAATGAAAAAAATAAAACAAAACGTTTCTTTTTTGTAACCAAGCCTTTTTTTGTCTATGTACACAACAACAGCATTAAAAAGATGCTGTGTTTTTAAATTATGTACCACATTATTAGCATGTGATTGTGAGTGTACTTTAATTATGTAAATAAAAAAAAAAGTGTTTTTAGTGCTTGTTGCTGAGACAATAATGAAAGAAAGGCTAATTTTTTAGGAAAAGCATTTTTCTGACACTTTATGGTACGAAAAAAATAAACTACTACTGAGAAAATTAGTAGAAATTTGTTTTAGTGCTAATGACTTTAAAAAAATTAGATATTTTTCAATTTTCAGTTAAGTAAAACTTAAAAAAATAAAGATTATATGAATTAATAATTAATTGAAAATAAACCTTATGCTTTGTTTATATATATAAAAAAAAACTGATTTAACGTTACTACTGCTGCTACTTTCTTTTTTTTTAAGTTGTTATATACAGTGAAGTGAAATGAATTAGGAAATAAATTTTAAAAGACCTTACCTGTTCCTGCTTTAATAGATCCATCAGATCGACTACACCAAAGTGAATAATCTCCATCGAAAAGAACGTAATGACTCTCCGTTTGATAAACTTCCATATTTACAAGAAAGCAATAATAAAATATACACGCTGGGTATAACAGAGGATAAGGGGGGAAGAGAGAAAGAGAGTGAAGCTCTCTTCCTCGTTCGTTGCCCAGCAAGCACGAAGCGCACAGATGCGTGTATTGTAGTAAAGTAGATCCTTTCACTTCTACTGTTGACCTCGCTTACCTTCACCTTCCACATGGTCAATACTTCCGGTGCGCCGAGAGGGTCACTTCCGCAACCATTATTTAAAATGGCGGTCGTGGATGCTTGACGTGCACGATTGTTTTATTATTGCTATTATACAAAGGTTAATCTATTACCATCTAATTTAATTTTTTTTTTCTTTTATTTTTTTAAACTTTGGACTCAAAAGAAAGAAAATTGAACTTCCATAATGTATGCTGCTGATGAAGGTGACTATTTAGTTCTTTTTTTATTTCAAGATCGCAATGCTTTGGACATTAAAAAAGTAATATGGCGGTTTTTATTATTTACTTTTTACGTTCTTATTTTTTCCCATTTTCCTTCGTCATTATTTAACTGTGGTCTTTCTTATATCGTTATAAAATTTCATGTTAAGTAAAAAATCTTAATGTTGCAGTAAGAAATGGCAATATTTCCATCAGGAAATATTACTAAGTAAGCATCCTTAAGTTAATAAATTTTCGATAATAAAGCCTAGTTTGATTAGTCAAACAAAATTATTTGAAATATAAAACTAATGTATTTGATTTATTTTAAAAAAAATTCCAGCTGATCAATTTTTTGTTAATTCCAAGTTTGTTTTCTTATAGAATAAATACAGCAGCGCTTCTTGTTCCAAATGAAGATTCTAAAATAAATCTAATCTAAAATAAATCCTTTAATAATTAAAGATTTAAAAATATATTTTCATTATCCAGCAGTTTTACTTTTGTTTAGCTTTAAAAAAAAAAAAAATAGTTTAAAAAAAAAATAAATAAATAAATTAATCAGATATTTTTCCAAAGTAAAAAACGTAAACAACTGAACTTTGACAATAGAGAAGAAATGTTATAATTTCGCGGTTACTTCTTTCTTTTTACTCTTTTTTAGTTTAAATTTTAAATCATATCAAAATATTTTTGGCTTTTAAAAATTAAGAATTCATTTTGTTTTTCTGTAGTGTAACATTCTCTTGAAATTTTCTCAAATAAATTTTATGCGATTATCATTAAAAAGAACAATAATTATCATTTTAAAATTACAGAATCTGTCATCCTTCTAATTCTAATTTATGGGTACATTTTTTTTCTATCACATTTTTATTATAAAAATGTGATAGAAAAAAAAAATTAAATAGAAAATTTAGAATATCAAAAAATATTTTTTGATATTCTTAAAGTGTACAGTACATACTTGGACAATTGCCGCAACATAATCTTCTAATTCCCCCTCTCCTTGTGCCGTACTTAGCTCAATAAGGAAATCATAAAATTAAAATTTCTGATCCTGAAAAAATCCTGTCCACATGGTGGTTAGTTTAGAAAGCGTTTGTTAAAAAGTCTCCATGTTTGTGTGTTATATCCAAAGAAATAATAAAATTTCACTTTAAGCTATGTTTTAATGTTATTATTACCTGAAACCATATGACGCATCCCATCACAAAACAAATTGAAAATAACCATCCCTGGAAATAAAAATGTAACTAATTTGTGTCTGCTTATCTATACCATCTGTACTGTAGCAAATCCTAAAAGGATTTTCCTAAATTATGCCAGGGGTATAGAAAAAGAAGTAGAGATAAAATAAAACAAAATCTGTAACCACCAACAAATTAGTGGCAGATAATAAATAAGCTTTTTTCAAGAGTAAATAACAAGAAATAAGTCTTGTTCAGAGTCTGTCGTATGCAGAAACAGTGACTAATGAATGACTTAAATTCTAAAATTAAAAAACCTGGATTAATTTATTGTATATATATTTTTTTTAAATTTAAGCTCTGACTAGAATTTTTCTCTTAAATTTTGAATGAATACAGATTTATTTTGCAATTGGTTTTTATGTTTCATTCAATATTTAAGTATTCAACAGATATCTTCACTCTATCTTCATGACAATGTTTCAAAGTCTGAGGTGTTAATTCAGGTTTACGCACCTGTGTGTTAGTTCCCATATTAAATAAAATCCCATGTCACATTGCCTTGTGTGTGTCCAAAAAAAGCTTCAGTTTCAACTGGATAAAAAAAAGAGGGCAAGTTATGACCATTGTCTTGGGAAAGTTTGTTGCACATTGTTAAAAATTGCATTTTAGGACAAACCAACAAAGGATTATGGTAAAAGTTTAAAAAACAAAAAAAACAAAAACCTTATCTATGCAAAACAGAAAGAAATGGTAACCTACCTTAAATCATATGGAAAATGTTTATTGCCATTATAAAAAATGTTTATCATCAATCAGGAATATGCTAAAGATTTAATTCAAGCTCAGTCTCCTGGCAGCATATGGGCTAAAGTTGAATCAACTAATCGTAGCTTTTTATGTTACTTTAAAAATAATTTTCTAAAATTATTTAAACAGGTCCAGAATTATTCTCACCTGGAAAACATTTTTAAGAACTTAAAGTAAAACTATAAAAAAATTTTCGAGTTTGATTTTTATTTTAATCATAAAACTTAAATAACTGTGAGAAAAATATTTTTATCTAATAGAATAGTTTATAAAAAATCAGTGATCAATTTGAGAACTTTTTTTTTTTTTTTTTTTTTTTTTCTGAGACATTTAAAATAGATTTGAAAATATTCTTAAAGACAACAGGGAATGCGATGTTTTTAATTTACAACTGCTTAACTTTTTAACTTTATTGCACAGGGATGAATTTTAAGGTTGTTTAGATGCTACCTATAAAAACTTAGCAGTAGCAATATAATTAAAACAGGCCAGCTATAAATAATATTTATTTTGTAAGTTTGTCAGCATAGTTTCATGTTATTTCACAATTTTGCTAAGCTATTAGTGTCAAAAGGGTACAACATTTACTGCAGCCATAGCAGCAGTGTGTATGTTTAAAAGCCCATGTCCTGGGTATGACGTTAAACTGCATCCAACAGCGAGGCCTCTGATCAAGAGGTTTTGAGGAGTGTGGAAACACCTCTTGCTGATGTCCCCAGGTCCACCCTGACCCAGGGTGGTAGCACCTGCTAGGGTCCCAACTATGGGCAAATAGTGAACTCCCAGTCTAGCCCGCGTCGTGGGTATGATGATAAACTACGTCCGCGTCCATGGGTATGACGGTAAACTACATCCGCATATTAGGTATGCCGATAAACTACGTCCAACAGAAAGACTGTTTTTGAAAAATTAAGGTTGTCGGCTATATGGTTTTGGAAAAGTAGTATTACCAGCTATATGTTTTTGAAAAAATAATATTCCCAGCTGTACGTTTTTGGAAAAATAATATTCCCAGCTATATGTTTAAAAAAAGAAAAATTACCAGCTATATGTCTTTTAACAAAATCTTATTCAATGGAATTATAACTGGGGTCAAAACACTGTAAAAGGATGATGTTTTTAAAAAAAAAAAATAATAATGTTACCAGTTATACGTTTTTGAAAAAAAATAATGTTGCCAGCTATACGTTTTTGGAAAAAAAAAAAATATTGCCAGCTATACGTTTTTGAAAGAATGATGTTGCCAGCTGTGGATTTTTGGGGAAAAAAAAATGATGTTGCCAGCTATATGTTTTTGAAAGAAATAATGTTGCAAGCTATACCAAAATCATTTTCGGCATAAAGTGACCACTAAGGTTGGAATGCCGTTAAACAAGACAAACAAACAAACAAATTAAAAGCCCATCCTTCACCATGCAGACTTTCAATTCAATTTTCCTTCTAGACTGGTTGTCAACCAAATCAGTGGAGGCTGTTCTGCTATTTAACCTATAATTGGAAGAGGATGGATTTGTGCTTTTTCCAAAGAAATCGGCACAAAGTGAACAAAACGGAATCTATCCAAATTTGAATTTATCATGACAATTTTACTTTCTGCAATGTTAACTGTCACACTAGCCACACATCAATAGCATCAACCTATAACTGAAATGGAGATGTTTCTCTCTCCCCCACCCCACCCATCAAAAATGAACTACAAAAATACATTTAAAAATATCATCACATTGGTTTGTGTTTTCATTCCTCATGAATTATTTTCTTACAATATTTATAAACAAATATACTTATTTCTTTCAATAATTATTTCTTGTAATAAAATATCTCATGCATGCATGATACACATTTGGGTGATCATGTCCCTTTGATTCGTGGCTGACTTGATAGAAGAGTTTCTGCAGTGACAGTATGTCCTGCTATTTAACCCCTAGCTAGGGAAGTAAAGATGGATTCATATCTTTCCTAAGTGTATTTGCTTGTAACTGAATGTAACACACTGCTGGAATTCAAACTTGGTTCTCCAATTTATCATTACAAGCTGTTATCCATCCCACTGCACACATCAAAGCTTACAGCACCTGGTATTCCCAAGAGATCACACATCTTGGTACTGGCCATTGCTTAACTTTGGTGATCAGGCAAGATATGGGCATTGTGTGTGTGTGTGTATGTATATGTTTAAAAAAAATTATAAACAAACTGGGGTATTATTTCTTTCAAGTTTTTTTTAATAATTATTTCTTATAATAAAGCTTTTAAAAAAAACATATATATATATATATATATATATATATATATATATATATATATATATATATATATATATATGAATGAATATATTCATGAAATAAATTATAGCCTAATGGATTTTTTAAGGTTCATCTATAATCATTATTGCTCTGTTCTTGTATTCAGCTCTCTTTGGATTAATGTCCTCCTTGGAATTATCCCTACTAATTGTCAGTTGCAATTATATAATGTGTGTGTGTAGCATATTAAAAAAAAAAAAATGTAAATCTTTTTTTTTTTTTTTTCTTTCTTTCTTTCCTACTGATACCAAAATTTTAAACTGTTTTATGCAAAAAAAAAAAAAAAAGTTTAAGAGAACAAAACCTAAGCAAATTCTAAAGGCTGGAGATTAACATCCACTTGAGAAACACAGACAGAAAAAAATGTCTCAACTGCAATGTTAAAAACAATAAAGATGATGATAACAATACCATAATAATGAAAAATACTTTATCTTAGAATATGAGAAAATAAATCCAACCCTCTTCCATCAAACTTTTAAAAAGATCTAATGCATTTGACGCTTTTTTTTTTCTTTCTTTCTTTTTTTCATCATTTTACAAGTGGGTTACTGGGTACAAAAGAATATGGGGCCGGAGGACATTGAAAGGACAATAGGAATAGGAATTAAGAAGACAAGATAAAAATTTGAAATTGCATTTCAATTTTTGAAGATAAAAGTTGACTGGAAAGCAAGAAGTCAGAAAAGAGTTCCACAAGTGAGAACTGAGATAGAAGAAACTGTTAGCATAGAACTTATGGTTACATTTAGCTATTTCAACTGTAAAATGATGACCTAGTTTAAAAAAATTATCTTTTCAGTTAAAAATAAACAATTCTTATTTTTCGGCAAATTCAGATGAATAAAGCTAGCATTAGTTAATAATAATTTCCCTAACTACATTATTGATGAAACTGTTCTTACATCAATTAATGACCATTAACACTGAAAAAACAAAATGCATCAATAATTTTGCTGCAACCAAATCCATAAAACAGGATGAATTTGTTATGCAATGTATAATAAAAGAATGTATTTCCCCTGTAGATCCCACTAAGCACATAAAACTCATCATATATAACCTTCTATTCTGATAGTCACCAATAATACCATGCTTGCAAGAACCAAACTTATTTACAAATTTACCCATTCCTTTCATAACTAGGCCCATAAATAAAACTAAAATAAAAATGAAAACCTTGCACACACAAATTAATACACCTCACAGGCATTTCATTCATCACCTGTGTTTGTAATGCTATTGATTGGTACAATAAGAAACTCTTAAATATACACATCCAATTCCATCTGCATATACAAAATTAATAAAGATTTAAAATGTAAAAAAAGCAATTGAATATGTTTGAAGTCCTTCCCATAATATCATTATGTATGAACATGGTGTTTGTTAATATAAACAGCATGGACATAGAAATCAACTCAGGGGACTGACGGTTCCATGCCTTAAGCAATCATTTGACCATCGTATGATCACTTAAGATATAGAACTACCAATCATCATGCAGAGTTTTTCTCTGTCCATGCTGTTTTAATATCAGTCACTGGTTGCACAGTTCAATCTTCAGGTGCTGATTGATAATATATTAAACTGTTTTATATATATATATGTGTGTGTGTGTGTGATTAAAGATATGAAAATCGGCAAGTTACAATTACCTTTGTTCTGATAAGACTAAAATGCTTTGTGTGTGTGTGTGTGATTGAAGCATTTTTGTGCAATGAAAATGTAATTGAATATCCATTTAGTTTAAATTGTAGAATAGGATACCTTGTATCCTTTGAGATTTTGCTGCATTGCCCCTTAGCTTATGAAATCAGACTTAGCATTAAGATAGGAGTAAGTGGTTATCAGCATAGATACTGATTTGAGAACTGATTGCATTGGGAAGGTAATTGATGGAAATTAAGAAAAATATGCGAGACATCTGTATTAATACCCAAAAAAAAAAAAAAAAATCTAAAGGGTAGCCATTCAAGACAACTTTTTGGTTCATTTTTTTTTTTTTTTTCTTTGCTCATAAGATTTTCAGTATTCATCAATAAATAACCATATTTTCTCTAAATTGAGGAAATATTCCCCTCTGATAATTTGTCATTTGACTTGTATCATGAGAATATGTTTTTATTAAAAAAAAAAAAAAATGTAATTTCAATTTTGCCTTTGCAATTTATTTGATGTATCAGTTATCCAATGCTGGTGATAAACTCGCACACAAAATATCTGTCTATGATGTAAATATTCGAAAATTCATGTCAATATGGCTAGCATGTCATCTTTCAGCTTTGCAAAAATATTTTCCCCAGCTTTTTTTTTTTTTTTTTTTGTACCACTCATGATAGATGCAAGCTTGTAAGGCTGAAATATCAGTTGAATAATCATTTTTAGTAATAAACATTCAATATTTCTAGTGAGAAAAAAATGTGGCCTGGCACCAAATTTTACAACCTTTTTTATTACAATTTCACATTAATCTTTCATGTACTGCATTAAAAATTTAGAAAAAGGTCAGATTACTGGTGTTTAGCAGGTAGCTAATTGGACATGAGTCCAGTATAGCCATCATTATTTTAATGTGATCTTTCAAAATTATTTTTTGAATTATAATGGCATAAAAAGGAGGAATTTTTAAGTTTCAACTGTTATTTTACCCGGATGAATTATTTAATTTCTTTGTTAACTTGTCTCTGAAATCAATATGATTTTTATTTAGTTTAACTTGGATGAAACTTTTCAGGCCAAAATGTTCATATTGGATGAAGAGTCTCAGCTTTCATATATAAAAATTTGTGTAAAACAATAAGAAGAAAATAGTGTTTATTTATGTGATAATTGTAATAAATATGTTAAAGATACTTGATAGGATTTTAATAAACTTAACATGTGTTCTTTGAATATTCATTCTCACCATTATAATTGATTTTTTTTCCTCACCTGATCTCCTTTTTGATTTTTCTATTTCAGGAGATATCATTTTAGATGAAGAAGATGGAGAAGAAATCACCCCTGATTTGTGGCAAGAAGCTTGCTGGATTGTTATCAGTTCATACTTTGATGAAAAGGGTTTGGTGCGACAACAATTGGATTCTTTTGATGAATTCATTCAAATGTCTGTTCAGCGAATTGTTGAACATTCACCAGCTATTGACCTTCAGGCTGAAGCCCAACATACATCAGGAACTGTGGAAACACCAGTGAGTATAGCTAATAGATGCTTGACGACAGTTGAATCTACTGCTTGTAGAGATGAAAACTGATATCTATACCTCTCTCTCTCTCTCTCTCTCTCTCTCTCTAATTTTGATAGTTACCAAAACAAGAGGTTGGTTTAGGGCAGTGTGATCCAAATAAATACTAATATATAATGTGTGTGATCCAGACAGCTTTGTTGTATCACAGCTCATCAGTCTGGCTAGACATCCAATTGCATCAAGCCATGATCAAAACCCAAACCGATTTGACTTCAGTCGGAGATTTTTTTTTTTTTTTTTTTTTTTCCTGAGCTATCAGCTCCAGGCAGAGAGGAAGATGAATTTATACGTTTTTATTTTAGAATAAACATGTCAGTGACTCAGAGTTCTCAATTCATACAAGAGCTTTTGCAGTAGCAGTCTTGACTTTACAAATTCACACCTTTTCCCTCTAAAGTGCTCAACGAAGTTTTATTTTTTTCAGGGTGTATATATATTTATTTCACTTTATCATATATATATATATATATATATATATATATATATATATATATATAGTGTGTCTACATCAGCTGAACAATTTTCATCTGGTATTTGATAATTTTTGCTAAAGTAAATTAACTGAAACTTACTACAATACTAACTGAAATTAGTAAATATTTGTACACAAAACTCTTTACAGTTAAACTTGGCCGTATTTCCATTCATTACACAAATATTTTGGGATTATGCCCATGTCACATCAGAACACCGATTCTTGTCTGATCACCAAAGTTAAGCAATATCTAGCCTGAACAGTACCTAGATGGGTCACCACTTGGGTGTACTAGGTTCTGTAAGCTTGGATGTGCAGGTGGTGTAATGGATAGAGGCTCAGAAGTGGATATTGGAGAACCAAGTTCCAATTCCATTTGATTTCATTATATTATACACAAATACCCATGAGAAAGGTAGGAATTCATCTCTTCTCACCCCAGCTATGGATTAATTAGTAGGCCTTGTGTCAGTAAATTATTCTTATCTTCAAAACATTCTTACAATCTAAAAATATTTTCTTGCATTAAATAATCTGCTATGGTTAAGCTGTAAGAAATGCATCAACCAATCAATCAATGGTTAACATTTGTTTTCTTTTGAGTTTACTATTATTTCTTGCATTCCATTCTGATAACCAAGAACTCATTTCTCCAAATTCCAATAGATTTGTTAGATTCAGTTACACACAAATACCGTTTGGGAATGGTATGAATCCAACTCTTTTCCCCTCACAGTTATGGGTTAAATAGTAGAGTTTGTATCAATAAATTATTATCTCAAACAAAATTCTTACAATCCAAAAGAATTTTTTGGCTTTAAATAACCTGAAAAAGTTTGATAAGCTGTAAAAAAGAACAAATCAACATATAAAAATATTTTTATTATTGTTTGTTTTCAAAGTAGATTATTAACACAAAAAATGGAAAACTGACAGTCCATTTTGCCTTGCTTATTAACATTACATCAAAATAACTGTAAAAAATTCAATATGACTTGCAATTGAGAATTTCTTTTAGAAGAAAAAATAAAGTTGAGTATAGTGGACATCTTGTAGAGCACACTGTATAAATCTCTCCACAAGTTTAAAATTTTCAATTCAGTGTTTTTGTTTTTTTTTTTCCTTTGCCTATTCTTTCAGCCAAGATATGTCCTCAAGTTTGAACAGATCTATTTGTCTAAACCAACTCATTGGGAAAAAGATGGTGCTCCCAGTCCTATGATGCCAAATGAAGCAAGATTGAGAAATTTGACGTAAGCCTCATTATATTTTTTTTTTTTTTTTTTTTTTTTTTACTTAGGTTTGAGGAAAATTGAAATTATCTCTACAGATTTGTTTACTTTCTGAACTTCTGATGTTACACATATTTTTGTTTTTCACACACATCTCATATAACCTCCTTACTATTAGTATCTCAGAAATACTGATGATATGAAACTTTTTCTTTATTAACAATAAATGTGACATTTATTATTATTATCAATATAAGCATTAATGAGTTCATTGTCATAGGTCTTCACTACTAAAATTATTTTTTTGAGAAATAGTTTCAATGTGGTAAGGCTCCTAAAAGTAACACAGAAGGAAGAATGCATTGACTGTTAAAAACAACAATTATCAAGCTAATAAAAAATATTGAGTCTTATCTTGGAACTTCAGGCAATACAGAAGGGCTTAAAAATGTTTATCAAAATGTTAAGAGCAGCCCTAAAATATAGAACAATGCAAAGCATGCTGTATTATTCTTTACATAAATTGTTGCTCTGAAATGATTCCAAGATATATAGCTTACTTACATCAAAACTTAATTTCAGGCAGTTGGACTGTCACCTAATAATTTTCAGATGAAAGTTAATTTTGCTGATAATGGTGAAAGCCAATAATATAGGAATTATTTTAGAACTCTCAAAGAACCATTCAGCCTTTGAGAATATCTTCAAAATCCAGCTGTTTTAATAAATCACAATTCCATTTTTTTTTTTTTTTTATCTCTTTGGGAATCATTTGATGTAACTATAAGTTCTGCATTTGTTGTTGTAAAATCTAATATTGTTTTTCTGTTTTCTCTTTGCAGTTATTCAGCTCCTCTCTACGTGGACATCACCAAGACAGTCATAAAAGAAGGTGAAGAAAATGTGGAGACACAACATCAAAAAACATTCATTGGTAAAATTCCCATCATGTTGAGATCAACTTATTGTCTTTTGAACAGACTTACAGATCGTGATTTGACTGAGTTAAATGAATGCCCTCTTGATCCAGGGGGTTATTTTATCATCAATGGATCAGAAAAAGTTCTTATTGCACAAGAGAAAATGGCTACAAACACAGGTGAGTCAATCTGTCAGTTTAAGAAGAATAAAAAAAAAGCTCCAGCTCACAAAATTTCTGCATCCTGTGTGTCTGTTTGCTTTTCTCCTTGTTCACCATGTCATATTCTGCAACTTAATTTTGAAGGGAATAATTATAGATGTCATTTTACATTCCTGTTGTTTGTTAAAATGTAATTTTTTTTTTTTTTTTTTTTTTTTTTCCAAAATTTGTTTTATTAATTTCTTTGTAAATAAAAACTTTCACCAAAATGAGTGAACAGTGTCTGTACTGTGGAACAAGGTTTTCATCTTTTTTTCTTTTCTTTTTTTTTTTCTGTTTTAGCCAGTTGTTCTTTCTAACCATTTTCTTTATCTTGGTTGTTTTTACCCTAACATTTCAGCAGCTCTACCCTCCAGTCTTCCTCAGATAGAAACTAGCTATTGTTCAGCATGTGTCTTAGCAGAACATCTAATTTAAAAGAATGAACAAGTGGCTAAGTATTAACATTTAAAGTTGAATAACAATGGCAGCTTTGTTCTTCAAGCATGTCTCTTGATCATCACTTTAAACAAATACTGTTCACTTGGCTTAGATTGAGAACCTGATTTTCAAAACACATCTTAATTATTATACATCAATTTTCATAAGAACTGAACAGTGTTTTCTTTTTTTTCTTCTAAAGAGAACAATTGACCAGTATTTATTATTTGTTACTAATGTTCCCATGTCATACAAAATGACAGCAGTTGTTAGAAAGTTTTAATATTACAATAAAAAGAGGAATCTACAATTCAGAACTAAACCCCTCATAAATTTACTTAAGTTGATTTACCTTCTTTCCCACTATTGATCATGACATGACAGATAAAGGGTGTTTCATTAAGTCGAATCAAAGTCGACAGTAAATAAATCAGTGTTATTGGTGAAATTTTATTTATTTCTCTATTGGATCATGTTATTTAAGTCATGGCAATGATGTGTGAAAAATAATATCGCTCAAATGTCCACCAAATCTAAAAGAAAACGAAAAAATCATTATACATTTAAACTTAATCCACATGAAAATCTGTCCAAGTTATTGGAACACCATTTATAAATACACAATGATAATTATTTATAGTGTTGATGAATCTAATATTAATGTCAGAATTGTCTCCTCCTTTTTGGTTGGTTGTGTGTGAGAGTGATTGACAAAATGAGAGTAGTGATTCCAAAAGTTTGTGTTTACTCATGGCTAATCTTACTCAGTGACAATGTTTATTCCCACTTTTCTCATTTACCAAATTTTGTTGTATATAAGATTTTCCTCACCCTCATAATATTGCAATATTATGGGCTTAGATTTACTTGTTAAGTTCTGTTAGTTTGACATCTGGGTAAATACTAACCTCTAAGATAACTTCTCTTTGTATAGAAGACCCAGAAGGAATTCATTTTTGTTACTGATTGGTGGAGACTTTTGATATACCATCAAATAGATTAGAAATTAATAAATTTGCTTTTAGTCATTAATTTTTTTTTCTTATTTTTCCTCTTTCCTTCTAGTATATGTATTTCAACAGAAAGACTCCAAATATGCTTACAAAACAGAAATCCGTTCCTGTCTGGAACATTCTTCACGTCCTACAAGTACTTTGTGGGTTAACATGATGGCAAGAGGAGGAACGGTAAGATCCTCACCCTTTATTTCACTTTGTTTGTCTTTCTTCAATATTCATCTATTACTGAATACAGCTGTGTGTTGTTTAACATTTACTATATTGTCTCTCTCTCTCTTCTCAAATGTTAGAAACAGTTTCTTACAAAGATCTGTAAATAATTTCTTTAATTTGTTTTTCATTGGATTTTCAGTTTTAAACTAAAATTCAGTTGTGGCGAAAATTATCATCACCTATACCTTTTTCTTCTTTTCCTTTCTTTCAGGGTGTGAAGAAAAGTTCAATTGGACAGAAGATCATTGCCATTTTACCTTACATCAAACAAGAAATTCCTATCATTATTGTTTTTCGAGCATTGGGGTTTGTATCTGACAGAGACATCTTGGAACATATCATCTATGACTTTGATGATCCAGAAATGATGGAAATGGTAAGCTCTAACTTTTTTTTTTTATTCTTATCAGTTTTTCTCTTGTCGTCATTTCTTGTCAAACTATCTTCTTAATGCAAATATTTTGGAATCATTTTGGATTTCATATTATTTACTAGGGGTAACTTCATTTTTATATAAGGGCACAAGCAGTTGGAGGGGGGGGTCTCATTATGATTAAGTTCAATTTTGCTGACAACTAAGCCACAATGTGCTGGTCATTTATTTATGTGTATATTTGGACAGCAACCTTTCCTTTAAATATCTTTCATTAAATATGGCACAAGGAAAATTTTTTATTTAGCTTTTCCAGTGTTCTTAAATTTTTTATTTTTAGAAGAAAGGTGGTGTAAAAATTGTCCATTGTTCCAAGCGGTTTCAACCATCTCTTTAGCCATTTTCAAGGGGCTTTGTTTGAGGTGTTATTAAATTCTCTTCATGTTTTGACTGTTTTAGATTTATTTTATTTTTGTTTTGGGTGCTAGTAGATGCCTTTGTTTGAGCCTTTACATATTGAGCATGGTTGAATTTGAGTAAGCATCTTTCTTTTTTTTTTTTTTTTTTTTTTTTAAACTTTCAACACTCCATTCCCACTTTTAAATAAGGTGAGGTTGATAGTGGGAGATAGATGTTTAATATACAGTGCCTCTCTACTAGCAAGATGTTTCCAGTAATGTAATTTATATAGAATTTTAATGTTTTTGACCAGAATTTTTCTTAAGGGTTCTTGTAAATTGTGGAGATTTTTATTTTATATCTTTTGCACGACATTATTGTCGGTTTTGTTCACATGCTAAATTATTGTTTTCACAAGATGTAAAGCCATTTTAAAAAAAATGTCCTCAAAAAGGTTGTGCATGTAATGAAACATTTATCAATGAGAATATTAAAATCAACAGGCCTAGTTCAATTTCTGAACAACACTTGTGTTCCCATTTTACTGATGTCCTCAGGAAAAGGCATGACTCTATCTGTACTCTCCTTAGCTATGGTTAAAAATAGTAGGTTGCTAACTATACATTCTAAACTTGGTTGGCAGCCAATGCTAAAGAAAGACAATTCTGAATTCAAAATTCTGGAGAAAGCAACAGGACATTTTGCAACTATCTTTCTCAAGATAATGTACAGTTTGCAGATATTAAAGAAAAAGAACCTATCACGAATCATTGTCATTTGGGCAAAATTAGATATCCTAATTGAAATTGTATAACTGTTAACAAACTTTTTATTTTTATTTTATTACTTGTCTCTTTGTTTTACAGGTGAAGCCTTCATTGGATGAAGCTTTTGTAATTCAAGAACAAAATGTGGCTTTGAACTTTATTGGTTCTCGTGGTGCACGTCCTGGTGTAACAAAAGAGAAACGAATTAAATATGCCAGGGAAATCTTACAAAAAGAAATGTTGCCCCATGTTGGTGTCAGCGATTTCTGTGAAACAAAAAAAGCCTATTTCTTAGGGTGAGCAAATAATTGATCAAACAAATTGTCAATTTTAAATGTCTCTTTTATTCAATGTCAGTATTTCCTGCTTTGAGATTTCTCGGAAAGTATTTTGCTATGAATTTTCAAAGGAACAACATTATCAAAATTTGTGACTAAGTTGCTTTTCATCAAAATTATTCTCCTTTTCGAACTATTTTTGTTTTTTATTGATTCTTTGCTTGCTGTGTTTTAAAAATTATTTTTTAATTTAAAATCAAATTTTTCCTCTCCTCCTACAGGTACATGGTGCACAGATTGCTTCTGGCTGCTTTGGGCAGACGAGAAGTAGATGATCGAGATCACTATGGAAACAAACGTTTAGATCTTGCAGGACCTCTTTTAGCATTCTTATTCAGAGGGTAAGGATTTATTTCTAGGGTTTTTTTTTTTATGTCACATCCCCTACCCTAAAAAAAAAAAAAACTGCCTTTCAGTTCAATTATTTGTAGATTTGAAGGAAAACTTTTTTTTTTCTTTAAGGCAGATTCTATCCTTTGGATAGAATTATGTTGATGAATCATCAAATAAACCCGAGGAAATTTTGATCCATTTAAAATTCTAATATTTATATTAGAAAGGAAATAATTTTCTTTTATTAAAGTTTTATAATTTAATATCAGGATTGAAATAATTCATGTTCAGCACATATTTTCATAAAGCAGAAAATATTTAAGGTAATACATGTGGCCTAATGGTTAACAGTATGGAAAATGGAATTACTAAACAGTTCAAGTTGTGTCTGAGACAGTTTTTTACCTTTTCACTTATTGTCTTAAGAAAGGCATGAATGTATCTCTTCTCCCAAACACTAACTTTTTCTTTTTATTTTGCTTAATGTTCCTATTTTCTTCATTTCATATGAAATTTTCCCTTTCCAAAATTGTTTTATACAGTGCCTCACATAAAAACCAGGAAATTTTACATTTACTATATGATGAAAAAAATTAACATATCAAAAATATTAACTTTTTTTAGTTTAAACACCACATTTGTGTTTTTGTTCTGTTTTAAGCGACTAAATTTGTATCTTTTGCTTTTGTTTCAAATAACTGTAACAAAAATTCCAACCATTAAATAAAAAGTACCAAATTTCCTGTTTTGTTTTTTTTTTTTTTGGAGGGGGTGCTGTAGATGGGTAGGGGCATCAGTTTAAACTGATACCAAGTGGATATGAGTTAATTCCATTCCATTTCATTCAAAGAGAATGAATTTAGGGAAACATTTTTCATATTAAATTGACATTTGAAGTCAACCTGATGATTTGGGGCTAGCTTGGCTTTTCATGCTATGTTGCATAGCAAGAAAAGTATTTGCATCTTGCATGCAATATTTCTAATGTTTTTTTCCTAAATTTGAAGAAATGTTCGTGTATTGTGACCTTTCAACCTTTTATTGATAATAACTGTTTGTCTCTCTTTCAGATTATTCCGAAACCTGATGAAAGAAGTGCGTATTTATGCCCAAAAATTTATTGACATTGGCAAAGATTTTAACTTAGAACTTGCCATCAAAACAAAGATTATCACTGATGGCTTGAAATATTCATTGGCCACAGGTAATTGGGGTGACCAGAAGAAAGCTCATCAAGCTCGAGCAGGTGTATCTCAGGTGAGTATGAGACAAAAACAGTTTATTTTATTGTTTACTCATCTTGATAAAGCCTATTGAATATTCTAGGAGAGTAGACATGAATATGAAAGATATAGAATGGATCAATATGTACCTAAACAGCATGAAAAAAAGAATTGAATGTTAAATTCAATACCTTTCTTCATATGCACTTTACTATGTTCAAATCATGTCACAAATGGAAGACAACATTGGTAATATTATACACAAAATATGGAGTAAATATGTTTATTATTGAAGGTGATATGTAAGAATATTTGAAAAAGGCTCAAACATTATCAAAAATGAGAAAATTACATTAGCAAATGATAACCATATTTGAACTGAATTCCCCTCCTTGACTAACATCTCCAAAAAAGGATTTTTTTTTTTTTTTTTTTTTTTTTAATGATCACAATGGACAAAAAAAACCCAGATCGCTTGTAGACAGTAGATAGAAAATAACCTGTTGGAAAAGACGCACACGCTTTGCTCTTACACCTCTGGCTTTCATCAAAGAACAAAAATCAAAATTTTCCAGCTCTTTATGCTTTTCTATTTTAGGTGTTGAATCGCCTGACATTTGCCTCTACCTTATCACATTTGAGACGCTTGAACTCTCCCATTGGTCGTGACGGTAAATTAGCCCGACCTCGTCAGCTTCATAACACATTGTGGGGCATGATTTGCCCTGCTGAGACACCAGAGGTAAAGCATCCAGATTATTTTCTTTTTTTTTTTTTTTTTTTTTTTCTCTGTTTTCCATTATGCAGTTTTTGAATATTAAGCATAACTGTAATTTTATCATAAATTCTTACCAAATTAGACTTAAAAAGGTTTTTTTCATTTTTTTTTTTTTTTTTTTTTTTTTTTTTTTTTAGGGAGCTGCTGTAGGGCTTGTGAAAAATTTGGCCTTGATGGCTTATATTTCTGTCGGTTCCCAACCATCTCCTATCCTTGAATTCTTGGAAGAGTGGAGTATGGAGAATCTTGAAGAAGTAGCACCATCTGCTATCCAAGAGTAAGTCAAAGTATTTGGGTTCTTGGTAGTTAATTAAGAATTCAGTTTGTTTGTTTTGTTTTTTTTGTTTTTTTAATGGTAAAAGTTTTGGGCCCTCTTTTCTCCTCTCTGATTATTGATAAATTACTGAATACTGCATAAACACTCAACTGAGAAGTTCATGAAAATATTGCTTTAGAAAAAAATAAACATTGTGAATAGAATTTTTTTTTTTTTTCTTTTTAGTGTTTTTTGTGTAAATCAGTGAATCAATAGTCCAACACAAATTGTTGAATTTTAGAATGTTCTCTGTGTAATGTTTGATCTATATGATTTTTAATCACCAATGAATTAAATTTATTGACAAGATGATATTATTTGAAAGATAATTCGTTGTATTTCATCATTTGACCTTGGGATTATTGATGTACAGGAAGATGTACTTGACACAACTAAGAAAGGACTAAAAAAAAAAAAAAAAATTATAAAAATCAAATATCCGGACAGATTTTAGGAATTGACAAATGCTGAGAATATTTCTACACATCTATGTACCTATGTTTTGTGGGAGGTGGGTGCTCTTTGATACATTTCCTAATTTTTAAAATTGTTTTTTTTTTAATAGCCTTTCAGTAGAGCTGATTTAACATTTAAGCACCTCTTCATCCATATATTAATATATAGAATGAATGTGGAATATCTGTTGAACTCTTTGGTGAGCTTTCCTGGTATTTAATGAGTCATCTGATATCAGATAGAAAAACTTGTAAAAGAATATATGCATCCTGTTCTAATTACTATTAATGGCTGTTGCTTGTTTTCAAGTCAAGAAAGTATAGATTTGAAACTTATTAACATATTCCTGGATTTATTTTTTTTTACACAGATCTGTAGGAACCCTGAGTCCTATAAATCTTTAGAGTACTAAAAAAAAAAAAATCTTTGGCATAAAATATACATCTCCATAAGTGATGAAATTAGCTATTTTCACAGAATTAGAAATTGTATTTTTATAAAAGTAGGGTTGTCAGTATGGAAGACAAATAAAATTAGATGGGCTTACAAACTATGGTGGCTGAAATGAAAATCCTTGTGTAAAAAGGATAGATTGTGTGTTTAGGCACAAAAACTAAGGTTTGATTAATTTTCTCAAAATCACCTAAATGTCCCAAAGATTAAAATAAATGATACACAATTATTTCACATGGTATATTCTTAATCACAGAATTGATTTTTGACTTTTAGTTTCAATAAGAGCTTCTCAAATCCTGCACATTCAGACTCAATGTTTATTAGTAATTAATCTCAATTTGGTAGTGATGAAAATATATATAACTGAAAATCTTAAAACAAAAATATTAAGTCTACAATTTAAGTGAGAAAAAAACATTTCTAGTGTCTAAGCATAGTGATTTTATTTTTTAATTGGGTCCTAAATTTTTTTTTTTTTTTTTTTTTTAAAGATTGTTTTAACTATAAATAATAAGCCATACTTGACAACACTGGGTTGTTTTTATCCCTGATCTGTTACTGCCTCTATTTTTTTTTTTTTTTACCTCATAAGGCCCCTCCCAAATACTCCAATATTTAAATAGGTCTCTTCATTAGCTGTCCACTCTTCAGGTTTTGCATTACAACTTGTTCATTTAACTGTGCAGAATTGTATGACCTCAAGCTTGTCTCATTAAATTTTGCTCAGATGGCATTATGAGCAACAAAATTTAAGTCAACTTTTTTTTTTTATTATGATGATGATTTAACAAATCTATATTCTTTCAGAAATTGAGATTTCAAAGATTATTCTTATTAGTTTTTGTAAAAACGTTTTCTCCTCAAAAAGTTAATGTTAAAGGATGTACAAATTCTTGTTAAGTTTGGTCATGCTGAAATGTTTTGGCCTGAATTCATATAACATTGTTATAAACAGCAGATTTATTTAAGTCAACATTTCAAGTTATGAAGGTGAAACAAAATATTTCTTGTAAGTTTGAAATAGACTGACTTGATAGTTTGGTTCCTCTGCCTCTCTCCAATTCCAAAATAGCCTGAGTCCTTGGGTTGCTAATAGTGTGTCTGATATGCATGTATTATTCTCATTGCTTCCTCACCTCCCAAACCCATTGATTTGAAAGTCTATTCTATTTTTTCCCCAACAGTGCCACAAAGATCTTTGTCAACGGCTGCTGGGTTGGCATCCACAGAGACCCAGAACAGTTGATGAACACACTACGTAAACTCAGAAGAGAAATGGACATCATTGTGTCTGAAGTAAGATTTTTTTTTTTTTTTTTACTTCATACCTTTTCTGTAGTTACTTCTGTTGAAATTCTATGTTTTTAGCTAAGGAAGTAAAATCCTACATAGTAGACACAACAAACCTACTAAACAGAATTAAACATATGCAAACAGTGCCAAAAAAAAAAAAGGCAACTCTAGTAACCATGGATGTAAGATCTCTTTATTCAAACATCAAACACATCAAAGGACTAACCATCCTTAAAGAAGCACAGTAAAAGAATGAAACAAGACCCCCCCTTCAGAAGTAATCATAAAAGTTATGGAACATATTCTTACATTGAATACTTTCAATTTCAATGGAAAACACTACCTACAAATAAGAGGATGTGCCAAGGGCACCATTGCAGCTACATCATATGCCACAATCTTTATGGAAGAATTTGAGGAAACCCATATTTATCCCTTCATTGGTAACAACTGCATATTCTATGCAAGATATAGTGATATCTTTTTCATGCACACTGGCAGTGAGGAGAAACTCACTGAATACCTTATGACCCTAAACACAGTACACAATTGTATTAAGTTCAACTATGAAAAATCAACAAGATCGGTAACATTTTTAGACACCTGCATCTACATTGATAAAAACAGAAAACTACAAACAACACTACACTAAAATCACTGACACCCACAACTATCTACACTTCTCACCCAAAGCACCTCAAGGAGAACTGTCCCTATTCACAAGTGCTTAGAAGGATATGTTCCAACAATGAAGAACTAAGTAAACACTAAAAATCTTGAGCATTGATTTACACCACTTGGCTATAAACAGCATCTAATCAGGGAACAAATAAATAAAGCAGTTTCCGCACCTAGAGAAGACACCTACAATATAAAACTAAAAATAAATCCAGACATCCCTCTAATAACCACTTTCAACAGCACTCTGCCTCCACTATCTCGAATAATAGTCACTGGGAAATACTACATCACAAACTAGACCTAAAAACTTTGAGGAACCCTACCTTTTTAACATATCGTAGACCTAAGAACCTTTAGGAAATTATAGATAGTACCCAAATTTTAGATAAGGTAACATATAATAGACCTAGAATAAAAAGTACAGGATTTTCCCAACCATGTAACAACAAAAGGAGTTTATGTTGTAATCACATTAGACATACCAATTTGTTCACTAGCTCAGTCACTAAGACTACTTTCAAAATCTACCACAACTCTAACTATAGAAGTCATAACATAATTTACTTATTAGAATGAACACTATGCCAGAAACACTGTGGGAAAATCTGAATGGTCCTTTCCCAGCACCTAATAAAACTGTCAAAATGACCAAGGAGGGAACTCTGAGACTCGGGAATCTCTCAGCCTCTATTTTAAAAACTTGGAAGAGGCCATTTAACCAACACAGGGACTGACCAAAATTAATGATAAAAAAAACAAATGCAAACTACAGATAAATTTCACTTTCTTCAGTCATTCATTTCTTTAGATCACTGTTACTAACAAGCAGGGATTTTTTTTTTTTTTTTGCTGGCTGAAACTAATTGAGGAATCTAATTTAAATAATAAAACATAAAATATTAATGTACAACCCAGTGTGTCTGAAGATTTTAATTTTTTTAATACTTTTTATTGTTCAAAACCTATATCAGATATTTTTATCACTTAAACATTTTTAGTGAATATTTGATTTGATGCTATGGTTTCGTCTTTTAACAGTCTTTATTATCATCTACCAGCCTGAATATTCAAGAAATCTTGAAGGATATCGTTTAAAAAGCATTATTTCACCATGCTTGATCAATGATGCCCTACATGATTAAGTTGATATAAACATGTGAATTTAACAATGTTTTCCTGCCAAGGAGAGCACAATTTGATTATTCTGTTGTAGAGCTCGTATTTTTCATTAAGATTTCTCGAATATTCAGATGATAAATAAACTTTGAAAAAAAAAAAATACAGGGTGTCTACTCAAAAATGGATATCCCTTTAAAAATAATGTTTAAGTGTTAAAAATTTTTTTTTTTTTTTTTTTTTTTTAAGTAATTATGGGAACTTTTACTGAAAATTCTATGTTTATTTAATTTTAATAATTACTTTTTGTAATCCTATATTTTTTTTCTTACTTTAAATGTTATGAATTCTCCAGGTATCAATGATCAGAGACATCAGAGATCGGGAAATTCGAATCTACACAGATGCTGGCAGAATTTGTCGGCCATTGTTGATTGTTGAGAATCAGAAACTGTTACTAAAGCAAAGTCACATCAAACAACTGAAACAAAGAGAATATAACAGTTACAGGTCAGTGTTAAAGAAAACCAACCAACCAACCAGAGGGTTTTTTTCTTTTCTTCTGTTAGAATTCTTTTGTTTTATAAAACACCTTTTGCATAGAATTCATAAAATCTCAAGGAAATTGTAAGTAATTAATATATGAAAGAATTAATTTCACACCCTGAATCCCTGCCCTTTCTATATACATAAATGTTCATTGAATTTCAGCACCACAAGGGGACAGTGTTAATTGAATTGTAAATTTCTGACTCCTTTGCTTGGTTATAGCTTTCATAAAAGTCAAGATGGTGATGTTGTTATTCAACAGATTGCTATGGAATGTGATGTAGATTTGAGTCTTGCTTGAAGCTGCTATTTTATTTTGACTACACTTCATTTGGAAATAGAAGAATATGTCAGCTTCAACCAACCAAAAAGACATCGTGTTAAAAAGTAACAAAAGTGTTAAATATTTTCATTAAAAGATTGGTGTGAAACATTTAATTACTTCCAATCAATATGTTTTTATGTGACATAATTTTAACTTATATATATAACTTATCTTACCAACCACTTCAAGACTATCATTGCCTTTGACTACCCTTGCCTTTGACTACTCTTATCGCTATTTATAATTTTTCCTTTCATTCTTCATTATTAAAGTAAGGCAACTCCATTGACAAACAAGAATTTCTTGCAGGATATCTCATCAGCTACTACTCTTAAGTGAACAAAATCTAATCTGATCTACTTCTTTTTTTCTATTTTGTAAAGGTTTATAATTCACTTTAAGTCCCTACATTGATAATTATTTGCTTATGTTGTGTGTGTGTGTTATATATAATTTCTGGTTGTATTAGCAACACCTTGTACGGATGTATGAGTATTTTTGACATTTTGTATTAATTGATGATTGTTGCATCTTTATATGAAAAATCTTTAGTCAACAGATGCATATTAATTTACCAAGTAATTCTATATGTATAAATTACTTACTGGTTTCTTAAAGAAGCTATTTAATTATTAACTATAAAAAAGATTTTATGTAGGAAACTCACAAAGCATATAACTTGTTTAGCATTTTGTTAAATTACCTCTCTACCTAATATTTTTTCTTAGGAAATAACATTGTCTAGTGTGTATAATTTATGTATCCATTAACATCCACTCCTGTTTGTCTGTGGTGCCATTAATTGCCAATCTGTGTCATGACCCATTTATGAAAAATAATTTCTTAATTTTTGCTTCTTCACCTAGTTTAAATTTAATTTAAGGTTCATATTTGACTGGTTAATCAGAATAAAGCCCATAAACCTTGTAACCCCCCCCCCCCCACACACACACATTTTTTTTTTTTTTTTTTTTTTTTCGTAAAAGGTTGTATTTTACTCTTAAATCTAAATTGTTCACTCGCCAGTAATTTACAATCACCTGATGAGATGCATTGACATGTATCAAAACACAATTGCAATTGTGTAGCCATTTCAACGTTTTTGATGTAATATCCTAAAATAAATAATATTGCTCTACTTTGTATTGAGCTCTTTTAAATTAAATGTTACGAATGTTGGAATCGTATTCGATTCATTTTCATCTTATCTGGAGATAAATGCGTGTGTGTTGTGTGCACACACACACACACACACACACACACACACACACACACTTCGTATAAAAATAACAAATGGATTTTTTTTTTTTTTTTTTTTTTTTTTCTGGCCCCTGTAGTTGGCAAGATTTGGTGGCTAGTGGTGTGGTTGAGTACATTGATCCACTTGAAGAGGAGACTGTTATGTTGGCCATGACACCTGATGACTTACAAGAGAAAGGTATGGCCTATTGTTCCACCTACACTCACTGCGAAATTCATCCTGCAATGGTGCTTGGAGTGTGTGCTTCTATTATTCCATTTCCTGATCACAATCAGGTAAGTCAGAGTGTTTTTGTTTGTTTTTTCTTTTATTGACATTTAGCATTGTCTGAAGGAGAAAGAAGAGTGTGTTGCACCAATTTTCTGAATGCTAATAAATCAACATCTGAAATAAGCTAAAACACCAAACTCTGGAAAAAATACAAGTCATTCAGCCCTAAAGACAGTTTTTATGTCTTTAATATTAATTTTAATATATTTATCTATCAAATTATTTGTTCATAAAATGTATCATTAAATTTTTAAAAAATGTCTTAATAAAAACTTGATTTACTTAACATTTGAAAATGAAATATACAAAAGAATAAAGGATTGATGATTCCTCTCCATACGCCCCCCCCTATTTGCACAATAATTGTTGTTGGTTTCACATTTTTTGCAACATTTTATAACCGTTGGCAAAAATGGCTTGATGTAAATTGCAAAGATTTTATCATCTTTTCCTATTTGTGCCTAGATGTGTACGTCATTTGTAGACTGTTGTCTTACCCCTCAAGATGAAGGTATTATTTACATATGGCAACGAAGTCTGCTCCAGGCCAGAGAAGGAGTGAAGACAGCTACTAGCATTTCATAACCAGCCTCTTTTGGGTTAATTGATTTTGTCAGCCCAGGAAGATCGTCCATCTTTGGGTGTGGTGGAGGTGTTGTCTACTACTTGTGCTTTGGCATATAGAGAAATTTACAAGTGGGTTTCTGTGTACAAAATGTAGTTAATAAGAATTAAATGGTTATTTACTAATGGCGATGATGATTACCACCACCTATGTCCTATCATTAATAATTTGCATGCCCATTTAATCCACAAAATGTAGCAACTATTATGGGACAGATGTTATATTGCCATCATAGTAAATGAAGTTTTATTTGTGTGATTTTCTTCTTTTCTCTCCTGGACAGTCTCCTCGTAATACATACCAAAGTGCTATGGGTAAACAAGCCATGGGTGTTTACATCACAAACTTCCATGTGCGAATGGATACTCTTGCTCACGGATTACTCTACCCTCAAAAACCATTGGTCACCACTCGATCTATGGAATATTTACGTTTCAGAGAGTTGCCTGCAGGTATGTCAAATGTCTTACCTCTATATTATCATTAACTGACACTTTTCATATTTAGTTTGTTTATAAAATGTTTCAGCAAACCTTTTCTATAACAATGAAGCCATCAACAAAGATTATTTTAAAATAATTCTTTGCTGTCCTCTGCACCTCGTCCATCCAATTTACTTCTAATATTTTATTATTTATGTATTATAGAGTTAAGCTAGTTACAAGTGCTAATAGTCTACAGCATGTTTCAGACACAAATATTTTTAAGTCATTCTTTTGGTAGTGACTGTCAAATAAAATACATACATTCTTTTAAATAATGCTCAAGTGTATAATTGCACTCAGTGGAAACTGGCTAGCAATAACTGAACAGTACTAAATAAAATAAGAACTAGACAAGATATCCCTAGACATGAGCAGTGGAATGAAAACAATCTATCCCATAGATTAAATAAAGGATACAATTCAGAATTCCCTGTAGGTTGCCCAGATCAATATACATCTGAGGAAGGTTGGAGGGCATAATGGCAAAAATGTTGTCTTCACAACAAAGATTAGGCCAATAACCAGAATATACATCATGGTAAATAACATGTCATCTTAAAAATTCAGACAAAAAAATATATTTTGCTTTGAAAATGTGTATATTTTTGCTTATTAACTTTAAGTGAACATGTATATCGATATGAGAATGTTTTATCACAATATTGATATGGTTTGGAGGAGGCACATTAGATTGTGGATCAGGTTGAGAAATCTGAGAGCCAAGTTTGAATTCCAGTTGAGTTCATTACATTCACTTATGTGCTCATACCCTTGAGAATGGTATGATGCCATTTCTACTACCTCCAATTATGGGTAAATATGACAGACTGGTTTCTATAGCCTTGGATAGAAGGTCTAGAGGAAGAAAAACTCTAAATTCAAAATTGTATGTATCCCTGACAAAGCACATACTATGCATCTGAAGAAATGGTTTACATTAACTCAGTGAACCTGACTACAATCAATTCCTTTTTTATTGATGAGTTGGTTGGCATAAATTGGGAATCTCACATAGGTCTTCCAAACAATGGCTGTTAAAAAGATGAAAATATTGTTTGGGAGTTACCATTGAAACACCAGTGCCTATTAATCTAAAAAGGTATGGTTACCTTTCTGAAGCTGGCTCACCTGTTGTCTCCAGTGCATATATTGATGTAATATATGTGCTATTTATTGATGTACAATGAATAAAATATTAATTTCATGTACACAGTAATTTGTCACGATACTAAACATTAGGATAATTACAAACTGTACTAATCATAAACAAGTGATGATGATTGATCTCTTGTCTCTTAGTGAATTACTTTCTAACTTTGGGTGGTCATGTGAGATCATCCCTAGTCAGGCATTGTGAACATTATTATTATTATTATTATTATTATTATTAAAATTTACCTAATACAATGCCACATAACCTAACAAACTATGCCACAAAAGCCACTTAATATAGAGGGTTACTGAATGAGGTGTGTGAGATTTGAACATAAGAGTAGGAAGTGAAGATTACAAATATATAGTTGGTAGATAAAGTTTGAACCTATACTTGGAGAAGTTAAGATTTTAGTGTTCTTAGAAAGCATCCTCTCAGGAGTCTGTACCCCAAAGTATCAGTTGCTGGGGAGAAGTTTTTAGAGTGGAATGCCTCTTCTAACCAAAGGAATACATAAAGAATAAGGGTGATTCAACTGTGTGGACTGTAAAAGTCTGAGTTTCTCCTTGCCATGGAATTAGTGATAGGCTTCAAAAGGTAATTTCTTCAACATTTTTCTATTCTGCTTTGTAGGCATCAATTCCATAGTAGCCATTGCTTCCTACACTGGATACAACCAAGAAGATTCCATTATTTTAAATGCATCTGCTATTGACCGAGGTTACTTTAGGTAAGTGATTCTTCATTCAAACAAGAATATGTGTGCCACATTTTATTGATCAACACATTACTTTTCTAATTTAAATCCAAACACAAAATTCTTTGGTGCCTGATTTGTGGCTAGGATAGCTACATAAGTCCCAACTCTATTAAATATCAACAAGTTAGAACTTCAAATACTGATTCATGCATTTGTAGCATGAATTCCTTTTTTTTTAAATACAAAGAACTTTTTTTTTTTTTTTTTTTTTTTTTTTTTTTTTTAATTCTGAATTAAATACAGTCTTATAATTACTTATGTGTAAGTTATGTACATGTATATCAAATGTTGTATATCTGCACATACACACTTTGGCTGTTGGCTCGTGGGAGAACTGGTTTAGAAACCAACCACCTGTCCATGTGGCAGGTTGTATTGGGTTACATGTTACCAGTAGCAGACCTAAGACTGACCTGATTATAAAATTAAGTGACAATATTATTGTATTTATTATAAATAAATCATTTGGATGCTTTTGCTGTATGGCAATGGATAGCAAGTTAATATTTCAGACCATTACACATTGATTAACTATCATCTTCAATGAATGCTCCAACCATTGTGATCCTGTGCCATACTAACCTCAACTCACTTGTGTTATCTTGATATGTGGTGAGGGGAAAGGGCTTTGTCTCTCTAATTTATGTCTTGAGAAATTAAAATAAGCAATATCCTTTGTGTTTTTAACATTTTGTTTTCTATATTTCTCTTGTTCAGGTCATTTTTCTTCCGATCCTATAAAGACCAAGAATCCAAAAAAGGCATGGATCAAGAAGAAATCTTTGAAAAACCATCCAGAGACTTTGTACAAGGTTTGTCATTAAACAAGATTTATTTTTAATCATTTTTATTTACTTATTTTGAATTTGTTTAACTTTATTTTAATGTTTTTTTTTTTTGTTTTTTTTGTTGTTTTTTTTCTGTTTTTTTTTTTTTTTTTTTTTTTTTTTAATTTATGATTGACAAAAGAGCAAACTTTTAACCTTTGTGCCCACAAAACTGTGTCAAAAGGATGGTTTTTCCCTTGACACCGCTATTATTTTAACTACCTTTGCTCCCTCAGCAATATTTGTGGTTTTAGAAAATGACTATTAAAATTTTAATAAAATCCAAACATGCAAAAGTGAATTTATACATTTTCTGTGTTCTTTGAGAATTTACAACAAAAATATTAAACATTATTTATTACATTGTTTATTTACAAGAATAATTTTATATTTACAACATCCTAAAAATGCAAGCCAACTAATGCAATGTTTATCATTTATCAGTTTATAAAGAAATATTTGTTTTCATAGTTATTCATAAAATGATAAATAATAAATATTGCATTGTAAATGGTTTACACATTTTGATAATTTCGTAATTTATTTAAAAAGTTGGCTGCCAATATTTTGTCAAAATGAAGGAATATCACTAGCGTTACACTGACAAATCATCTGTTAGGCATCATCAGATGGAAAATTGCTAAAGCTTGTTCATTGATTAACTTTGAAAATTCAGTTTCAATTACTATTGTAAAATCTCTTGAGTATTTTTATAGGATGTAATGAAAACGTTTGTAACAAATATTATTTGTTCTTTTACATGAAAGGGAAAAGGACTTTGTATCTTTTTTTTTTTTTTTTTTTTAAATTCTTTTATTTGAACAATGATCCCAACCATTAATTTTCAAATATCTTTTTAAATGTTAGAATTGACATTGTAATTTTTAAATCAGATCTATTAAAAGTATTTATTATTTTTCAGGAATGCGACATGCTATTTATGAAAAACTGGATGATGATGGTATCATTGCACCTGGTACCAGGGTGTCTGGAGATGACGTTCTTATTGGCAAGACACTTACTCTACCGCCAAATGAAAACGAAGTCAGTTTCTATAGATTGGCATATCTTATTCTCTTTTTATTTCAATCAATGAAAAGTGTTAAATATATGATGAAAATACTTGATAAAATGTTTAAAATAGTCATTCAAATTTTTTCTCTCTCTATATCTCTTGAATAATTCTGAAGCTGGTATCACAACTGCTCCTCATTGGGGAAATTTGCAGAAATTTCAAAACCTATCTATGAATGCAATAAGGATCTTTTATACACAATAAAATATCAAATGCATTACTCATGCATAGAAATAAGTTCAACCACAATATCAATCTAAAGAATGCCACACTTATTAAAAGAGAAAGTAACTTACTTAGAAGGAAAATTCTTGTGAGTATCACTGTCAAATCTTAGTAAAATATAAATCTGTGACCCAATTTTTTTCAAATGTCTCTGTTCCTGAAGAAAATACTTCTTTTCCAAGTCAACATACATGACTATAAAAATGTTAAAAAATTAAAAGAAAATGGTTAAATTGAAAACCTCCTTTTATTTAAACTACATAAATTAATCCCAAACTAAAATAATTTAAATATTAATTACATTACAAAAATTCAACAACATTTACTCATTTTTGTTTATTAGACATAAAAAATGAAATCACATCTGTTGGTGTCTGGCTGTCAATTCCTAGGAGCTGAGCTGCTTGACCCTCGTACATCGAATATGATGGGAGAGTCCACTATAATCTTCCCACTCTTCCAGAAACAAAAATTGAAATCTTTTATGTCTTTTTTCCTTTCAGAGGTCATATAGGTTTTAAATTTATGATTTCTTATTCCAGCTTGAGGGCACTGTTCGCAGATTTGCTAAGAGAGATGCCAGTGTCTTTATGAGAAGAAGTGAAACAGGAATTATTGATCAGGTAAGTTTTTTCTTTTTTCTTCACCAAATCACCTGATTTCAGTTAATTTCACAATCATAAGCTCATTTCTAATTACCTATTATCTCCCTTGACACTCGGTATCTAGAAAAAGTATGAGTTTGTGGTTTTATTACATATCTTGCCATTCTTGATACAAATGAAAGTTTTTCATCAGAAACATTCTTTCATTTTCTTTAATCTTTCTTTCTTTCATTTTTTTTTTTTTTTTTTCCATAAAGAATTTGAAATTTGTTAGTGGCTTGATTTTTCAATAAAAAAAAAAAATAGCAAATAATTATCCTGAGCATTTATTCCTCTTGATTTTCTGTGTTTATATATTTCCTTTTTTATGATAAAAATATAGTTTTAAGCTATGTTATATTTATGGGTTAAAGTGCTCTATATTAGGGATAGATGACATTCTGTTTCCAACTTAAGCGCAATCGTCAGGCCATGTTCTGACAGTTGTCTTTAAGCATGGAATGAACTGTCACCACTGGATGTTGTCTTCAATGTCAACTTTGATGTTTATATTTCTTTTTATATATTTAATGTCCCTTTTTATTTTCTCTAGGTGATGCTTACAATTAATCAAGAAGGTTTCAAATTTTGTAAGATTCGTGTTCGTACTGTGAAAACTCCACAGATTGGAGATAAATTTGCTAGTCGGCACGGACAGAAAGGAACCTGTGGAATCACTTATCGGCAGGAGGTATGTAATTTTAAACATTATTTTATCTCCAGTCAGAGTAATTTTTTTTTTCTTTCTAGTGTGCAACATATTACAAATGCTGTCAAAACATCCTCCAACAATAAGTTTTTTATAAAAAACAAAAAAAACATTTACTTTAAAGCCTTTCACTTTTAGTACCAAGCCCAGCTCGCACTAAAAGTGAGTTTCTTTCTACCATCCAATCTTTTGAAATTGTTTACTAGCAGAACATAAATAAGTATTAAATTGATCAACATCTTGAGTTATTCACATCTGCTAAATGTTTGAATTTGTGATTGTATTGTTTGTTTTCAGGATATGCCATTTACATGTGAAGGAATCAGCCCCGATCTGATTGTCAACCCTCATGCTATCCCCTCCCGTATGACAATTGGCCATTTAATTGAATGTCTTCAAGGCAAGGTTGCTGCTAACAAGGGAGAGATTGGTGATGCCACCCCATTCAATGATGCTGTCAATGTACAAAAGGTTTCCAATTTGTTGCAGCAATATGGCTACCACTTAAGAGGCAATGAGGTAAATCAAACCCAACACTTATTATACAGAAATCTTTCACATGAGCCTCCATTTGGGTGTGGAGGTTTTGATCTTTTTAGTAGAATTCAATTGCAAATACAAATGGTTATGGTATTTTTGGGCAAATTTTTGGAACGATTCAGTCTTTCTTATCAAATTATTAAATGGAAGTTGTCTTGAATGGCCACTCTTCTAGATCTTTTTGCATAAATAAAAGTGTTCCCCAGGGCTCTGTCCTTGAACCTATAATTTCTAATTTTCATAAATGACCTTCTTGATGCCATCAGTTCTCAGCTTGGTATCTATGCTGACAACACAACTATTTACTCCTGTCTTTATAGTGTGATCAGTTTGATAAAGTCAAATTGGCAGCTGATCTCAAAAATGAGCTATAATATGTTGTTAAATGGGAATAGGAATGGCTTGTTAATTTTAATACCACAAAAATGAATGCTGTTTTAATCATCTAAGAAATTCTATTTTACCTTCCATCAGCATGGTCAGTGCTAACCTGCAGGAGAGTGACTCATTGCGCATACGTGGATTAAGGTTTTTCACTGACACAAAGTGAAAAGAATATATTGAATCAATTAATAAGTCTGCAGCTCGGAATGTTGGTTCACTGTGTCAAAGTATTTCCCTTTTACTCATAGAATCTAGCTTACATATTTATAAGTCTATTTTGCTTTGAATATGGCTACCACATCTGGTCTGGTGCTCCAGCTATATATTTAGAGATTCTTGTTAAAATCCAAAGAATCTGCAATATTATTGGTCCTGGCCTGGCATCTTGGTTTTCATCTATTTCCCAGCACTGTAATGCAGTTTCCCCCCATGCCTTTTCTATAAATACTTCCCTGGTAATTGTTCTGATGAATCTTCCTCTATGGTACCTAGAAGTTAAGAATTTAAGAGCACTGCTAGATTGGCAGCAAGGTCTCATCAATTTACAGTTGAAATGGCTAGGTGTAACCGTAAGTTCTATGCTAACAGTTTCTTCTATCTCGCTTGTGGAACTCTCTTCTGGCTTCTTGCTTTCCAGCCAACTTTGATATTTAAAATTTAAATGCAATGCCAATCGTTATCTTCTGTCTTAATTCTGGTTCTTTTATTGTTCTTTCTCCTTAATACTAGTTTTTCTCATATTGTCTAACACTCAGTAACCTCTTGCGTCCTAGTGGCTTCATTGCCTTGCTTGGGGGTGAAATAATTTTTTGCATTTTTCCCTTGAGTTTTTTTTTTTTTTTTATTATTATTTAGAAGGCAAGCATGATTTTGTTTTGTCTTAAACACTTGGAAATCATTGATAATCAAAAATGTTTTTCTTTTTTTATTATTTCATCCAATACAAGGCCTACTCAAGATAGAGGTTTACTGATCGAGATTATTGTAAGGAAGAAGGAAGTAAAAAATGGTTATGATGAGGATATGTAGGATAAATATTGATTGATGCTGGACTAAGATTGTAGTTGTCAGAGAAGCATCCTCTCAAGTCTATTCCACAAAGCAACAGTCCTGGGGAAGGAGCTGTTTGAGTGGAACTTGCTCCTTATTAGATGTACATGAAGGAAATGGGGATGATTTATCACTATGAACACAGTATGGCCGGGGGGGGGGTCCTAGGCATGAAGATCTGAGCTGGATGATGGAGCAGCAAAAGAACTGACCATTTTCCCAGCATCTTTAGTGATGAATCATATGTATGAATTCCACTTGAGGTATGACTCAAGTCCCAACAGGCACGGGGCTACCCTGAGGAAACACCCATTCATTGTCGTTGGTGATAGTTCTAGGTCTAATTAACGATGAGGAAATGTAACTAGTTTGGTTTTCAAGGCATTGAATGTAACCAGCCAGTTTTTTCTGCCCACTCGCAGGCACTCACCCTCTTCAATATTAAATAATCTTATCTAAGTTTTTTTTTTTTTTTCTTAATTAAGAAATTGCCAATATTCTTTGATTTCTTTAAACTCTTGTTTTCATCTTTGGTTGTGATGTTGTTATTATAGACACTGACATTTTGCCTATCTACCCTCTGACCTTCTTCAGGTGATTATTTTTGTATCTATGATACTGCTTCTTGTTAGTTCCTGTTATATCTCCATGGATGTGCTGAAAATCTTTGCTCAACAAAGCATTTTTTTAAATAAAAGATTCTTTGATCAGATTTTGGGAAAAATCTTTCGGCGCCCTACATAGAACAACCAAAGATGAAAACAACTGTTTACATAGATCAAAATATATCATCAAAGATTCTTTCTAATGATTTTTTTTATGGCTTTTTAACCCATAATATTCAGGTTCACATTTGATTGTAAATTTTCTCAATATCTGATGGAAAATCCATCTTGTAGATTACATTTGAACAATTTTACAAAGAAAAAGAAAACCAATATCTGATTATATTTTTTCTTTCCCTCCACAAAGTAAAATTAACTGATGACAATAAAATTGAAGTTTGATTTATCTTTGTTCATCCTTTGAAACATTTTTTTTTTTTTTTTTTTTTAACTGTTAATCTTTGTCATTATAGAAAGTCTTTTTTCTTCTTCAGATTCTTTACAATGGACACACCGGAAGAAAATTGAATGCCCAGATTTTCTTGGGTCCCACTTATTATCAACGTTTGAAGCATATGGTGGACGACAAAATCCATTCTCGTGCTCGTGGGCCTTTACAGATTATGAACAGACAACCCATGGAAGGAAGATCTCGGTGAGTTGTCACATTTGCCTACCCAAACACCCAATGTTTGGCTTCAAATCTTTATTATTAATTGAAATTTTAATCTCCTGCAAATACATTTCTCATGAAAAATGTTAAGTGAACAAAATTTATCCCAAAATATTAGGATTCTAGTAAAAGTAATGATTATCCATGTTTTGAAAGTTTTATTGACCATCTTTTGAAAGTTTTATTGACCTTTTTAGGGATACCACAGTGTATTAAATCTTCAGTCTTTGAATCTCTTCTATTTTATATTTGTAAAGTGATAAAAGAACATTATTGGTTATTGTGTACTTAAAAATACAGATATGACAGCACAAGAATTGGACAAAATTTCAGTTTAAAAAGAAAAACTGAGAAAGAAAGAAAAAAAAAAAAAACTCTTTATGAAACAGATGAATACAGTTTTTACTGTAATGTTTATGGTTTAAATGGAAATTTTCTTTATTTTTCTGTCTTTTCTTTAAACCAGTGACGGAGGTTTGCGTTTTGGAGAGATGGAACGAGATTGCCAAATTGCTCATGGTGCTGCACAGTTTTTGCGAGAAAGATTGTTTGAAGTGTCTGATCCCTACCGTGTACATGTTTGCAATATGTGCGGATTGGTCTGCATTGCCAATTTGAGAAACCAAACCTTTGAATGCAGAGGCTGCAAAAACAAAACTCAGGTAAGTCATTTTAGCCACACACTACAGATTACAAACAAAACAATATCTGCTCAGATTCTGAAAAGTAGCAATTTGAACAAATTTCTACACCAATGATGAGTTTATATAAGCATAAAAAAAAATAAAATGGACAACAAATCTATATCTGGAGTAATTTTTTAATCTTTACTTTGTTTTAATATGAAATAAATCCCTTGATTTTACTTCATTTTATTAATTTCTTCTACAGATTTCACAAATGCGGATGCCTTACGCCTGTAAACTTTTGTTCCAAGAGCTTATGTCGATGAGCATTGCTCCACGAATGATGGTTTCTTAAGATCAAAGAATTCCAACCCAAATAGCAAATATTTTTGTCTTTGTAAAATATTCCTCATCAGTTTTCTTAACGAAAATAAATTTTGTACATAAGTTTTTTTTCTGTGTTCTTATTTATTGCTTTTCTAATGTTTCTCTCTTCATTTCTTACTTGCAACTGTGGAACAACAAATTGGGGGGGGGGTATCCGAAGAACAACTTCAGAAATCTTACAACTGAATAATTTGATGTATTTTAAGAAATGAAACCTTTTTTTTTTTTTTTTTTTTTTTTTTTTTTTTTCTTAAGAGCTTTTTTTTCTCTTTCAATGTAAAAAGGCATATCATCAAATGTCGATGATGATAACAATAAATACAAGAATATAAACCTCTGTAGACTTGGAGTTTAATCAACTGCTATCCAAAATTCTTGGCTCTGTATTTATCATTCCATAAACTGTTCAGACAAATATTTTAATCTTTGTTGATTTTCATCTCTCTCTCACTCACTCTCTAACACACACTGATGTACAAGCAAAAAAAAAAGCTTATAACAATGGTAGAAAGACACCAAGAACCATGAGAAAGAATTAAAATTTCTAAAATAAGTAAAAATGTGTTCCAGTTAATGTTTTAAATAAATGTGATGCTTGTGGAAAATATGACATCAAAGGTGTAAAAGAAAAGAAAAAAAAAAATTTTTTTTTTTAAATCTGAAGTGGGTAAATACTCTAAGAACAGTGGCAGAAAATCTTCAAAGTTCCTTTGTTAAAAAATTTCAAAGAATAAAGATTAATCCAGAAGGCAAGAAGATAGTGACCAGTTCCTGACTCAGTAAAATAAGAAATGACAACGAATTTGGCATTTCTAAATTTATCATTTGAGAAATACTCTGAATTTAGATTTTGGTTAGCATCAAAAAAAGACATGGTAATTTTTTTTTCCTTTTATAAAATGAACCATAGAATAACAAAACATGGTCACTGATCTTCGGGCTTATAATTCTTGATTAGCGTCACCTGGTTTCAACCTTCATGATTCATTCAGTTACTTCTTTTGATTATTAGATTAAATAATATTGATTTTTCTAAGCACTGCTTAGATGTGGCCCAAATCCGAAACTCATTATTCAGTCGTAACTTTTAGCGAGACAAGCTTGCTAACCATTACACCACACCGAGATGCCCAATTAGACTGTTACTTGGTCATATTATTTAATCTAAGTGAATGTACAGATTAGGGTTTGGTTAAAGACCTCAACTGTTCCCAAAAAAAAAAAAAATATCTGACATAATTGATGATTAGGTGTTTGTTTTTTTTTTTTTTTATTTAAAACAAGAGGCTACATTCGTTTCTTCTGCCAACAGCAGATCACCAAGAAAAATGGACATAAAAAAGAAAAATTATTTCATTGGATTAAGTCTAAGACTAGCAAGAAACCTATGATACCCATCACTCGTTCAATGATGATAGACACCTTGAGAGAAAAAAAAAAAAAAAAACGGATTTATTTATTTATTTATTATTATTATTATATATATATATATAATTTTTTTTTTGTGGGGGGGGTTATTCAAATGGATGTTACATTTGACACCCTTTCTTGCAATCCTCTATCCCCTTAGAGTCTCAGTATGCTTATGATCAACTAAGCTTTTCTCTTTACAAAAATCAATGTCTTCTATTTATTTTTGTTTTCCTTTATCCATAAGTAGGAAGAGTCTGTCATATTTCAAAATAATCATTTGCGGCTTCTGGGGCATTGTTTTTGTTGAAAACTTAAATGTACTCAATAACTTTTTCTGTGTATACTGAGAAAAAGTTTATTTTCATATGAGGAAGATCAGGAAAAAATATCCCTCTGCAAAATTCTGTAAGATGTATAGATGTAAAAGTAAAAAATTGACCTAGTCATAGGTCAACTGCAGTTGAGATTTAATGTCCTTGTGAACTTATAACATTGACAATCGTTGCCTAATTGTGCAATTCTGGGGCTACATACAGTTTTGAATTCAGTGTTGTTCTCTTGGACTGATTACCAACCAAGGCTATTGAGCCCAGTCTGCCCTGCTATTGGAATATATCATATACTCATGAAAAATAGATAACACACATTTTCTGCCTATTTCTCTTCTTTCCCCCCCCTCCGTTAATTTAGTAACATTTTGACATTTACCATATTCCAGTATCCTTGCATCATCAAATCAAAGATATATTTTTTTTCAGTTGATACTAACTAAATGCACAATGTCCCAAGCAATTTTAAATTTTGTTTTATTTTTTATAAAAATATACAAGTGTCATTAAGTGAACTTGTGTTCTGATGTTGCTCATACAACACCAAATGCTTCTTTTTCAATCTGCCATTCTTAATTTCCTACATGCGTAACACCGTAAAAGTCGTTCCTCTTACTGCTTCAGCCCTCTTTTATCATACCAACACCATGGCCCACTGACCAGTTAGCGTTCTTCGCTTTGTCATCACTTACCCAGTCAAATGGCATCCTCCAGTTCAACCAATCAGCACGCGAATTGCTATTGGTCAAACCATGCAAAGCTGTACAAAAGCCACTATTACAGAATATACACTTTTGGAATAATCTAAAGTGGGAAGGGTAGGTCCATGCCATTTTCAAGGAACAAAAATGTTACTGCTATGTGTCATGTATTGAGGTAAGAAACTTATTTTTCTTTGTACCAGATGCAAGCCACTCTGATTCGCTTGCTTCTATGTACCTGTTCACAGCAAACCAACATAAAATTTTATTCAGATAATGATTTTTAGTGCTTTTTCAAAATGAATTTATGTAAACCATTCTATATGAATGCTAATTGCAACATTTTTTTCTTAAAAATACACCCCCATGCCAAATGTATTTTTCATTCCATTTATGGAGATGATTCTTTTTTTTTTTTTTTTTTGTTCCTAATACATAGCCTTTTCCAAAATCTGTTGCAGTGTTCACAGGGATATATTATTAGTTTTTCTGTTTCTGACTCTACGAAGAGAAACATCCAATTCCAAAATAGTTCCAGCAATGGTGTGACTTTTTTCCACCACAAAACCCAAAGTTTATTAGAATTATATTTGAATCACATATTTTTTCTTCTAGTCATTGATGTTTCTTAATGTAATGCATGTTATCATCAATAGGGCTTTTAAAATAAAACCATTAAACTCTTCATTTACTCTGATAATTACTTTGAGATTTTATAACTTCCGAAAAAATATAACTTCTGTAAAAAAAACCTGATCATATAATATGCTCACTTATCTGTCCGATTTTTCAGTTATACAAATATTTTGTTAAATTTGGCAGTTTACTTCTATGATCCTATTGAATCATATTTAAGGCTTGAGAAAATATATTAGGCTCTTGCAAAGAAACTTATTTTTAAAACAACCAATATTACTGTAACACCTTATCCTCACCCCACTGGACCCACGCACTCCACAAGACCAGCTGTTGGTTTGATATAGTCCAGTATTACAAGTCGCTGGTTCCCAATGTCAGTTCGGAGCCACCCTCCAGCCATGTTGTGATTGTTTTGATCCTGGAGAGTGGCCATCAGATCATAGAAACCCAGAAGCTCTCCGTTGGTCCACCTGAAAGTTCGTCAGGTGAGAATCGGGTCAACAGAAAAATAAAGATAACCAAGTCAATTCGATCTTGAAAGGACAAAATTTATATATATATATATATATATATATATAAAAGCAAACACAAAAAAAAATAATTCTTGTTGCACAAGGTTGTGTTTCTTGTATGTGAATAATAATCAAACACAAATACTTCGAATAATTTCGGTAAAGGAGAGATGTGGCCTTCGTTTTAACCCTTTTTGGTCTGATCTTAGTGCAATTACTACAACCTTCAATGTTCCCGTTCTCATTAGTAATAATAGCATACCGATTCGAATTCCGGACTGGGGGGATTGTTTTCATTACCTAGGGATATCTCATCTTGTGCTTATTTTTATTACTGCTCAGTTATTGCTCACCCTATTTCCACTGAGTTGCTATGTCACCCTGCTAACACTTTAATCCCCTACGCTATTGTCCCGTTAGATATGAAAAAGACGAACATTTATGGCCATACCAAAAAGCATTTTCCCAACATCAAATTGCACAAAATATAAAAATTGTGAACCTCAGATTCATGGCTTGGTTTCGCAAAACTAACATCAAAAGGGAGTCTGTATACGTCTCTTGAATGCACGTTTGTGATTGATAAGGCCAATGTGGGACAGACATACACGGTCGCAGTAGTTGCAGCTGAAAGTCCAGCCTGGGCTCGATGGCATGGCGTTGTAGTACTTCCTCCTCTGCCTCTTGTCTCTGAGAGTGACCCTGCAGGTGTTTTCAAAGAAGGAGACTGTATGGTTGGTGGTGTGATACCAGGCGTCACGGTTCTCAGCTAGGGTTGACCATTGGTCATGGTTGATGTGACAGTCGCCAAAGGATTTTTTCAGGCAACCTTTGAATTGCTTCTTTGGTGTCTCTCTGTCGCGATATCCGTACAACAAAATTTTAGGCAGCCGATGATTCTCCATCCTGAAAACGTATCCAGCTCAGCGTTGCTGGGACTTCAAAACCTCAGAATAGTCAAAACAGAATAACATTTCTTGTATAAGTTCAAATTTCTGTTTTCCACAATAGTCCATATAAATCAAATTTCTCTTTGCTTTTAGAAACGAAATGTTCAAGTTCAAAGAGCGAGAAAATGAAATAAAATCAATAAATGAAATAATAATGATGAATCATAAAAAGAAATACATTTTCCTATCATGCTAAGAGTAAAGAAACCGGAAATATGATTACCCCACTTGGCTTCGTCAAACGCCGTTAGACGGTGATGGTTAAGTCTATAAAAAATATTTTCCTTACTCTCTTGTTTCTGGATGTAGTTGCACGCCGTTAAAGAATGTCATCGCCGGTGCGCGCTTGTTTCTTCGGTCCACTGACGACTAAACACTCTTTTCTCCCTTTTGCCCCAAGATATATCACCACATGGTAATTATG